TTCAGAAACCTTGCTCATTTACTTCTGCTTCCATTCCTTGAGACCTTTCCAAATAATCTGTTTATTGTCACACAACAAATAACACATTTGTTGCCCACACCTCACTTTCCCCATTACAGCTGCTCATCCTTTGTAGGTCTGTCATATTTTATAAGCACTACAAATCATTATTTTGTACCTGGGAAATTGGCAATACTTCCCCCAGATAGCAGATACTTTGTTACCAGAAGCCTATAGCCAAGGAATTGGCTGGCTAGTTGAAATCAATACATGAAATTCAGACTTTGCTGCTTCTTGGTCCTCATTACTTGCTCAGGATTGCCAGGCCACAATACTGCAGAAGCCACCAGAGAGAAAATCCCTCAGCTATATAACTCTTAAAGGTATAGCAGCCATGTTAGGGTCCAAATCCATCAAAACTAACCCACGGTCCTCAGGCCTCTATAGCTCCCTTTTCTTTTCACCTCCTTCCTGACCCTTCTGACCTGACCCTTCCTGACCCTATTTCCTTCTTAACTTTGCTCCCTTCAAAGCCAACTCTTCACCCACCTTTGTTTCTTCAGTATCCCACTTTTGAGGCCACTGACTGACTACTTTGTCAAGCTACTTTTGGTTACATTTGTCTTTTTGGACAGCCTCCTTAGCATTCCTCCATCTCTGGCTCATCACCCTTCTGAGCAGAAGCACTGTGAATTTCTTCTTCGGATCCCAGACCCACCTTAATGTGTAGTGTTTTCTGCTCTTTTCTTGCCACCTTTTTCTCCCATAGTTTCCTGAGTTCCTGTTTTTCAGTCCGTTGTTTAGCTACATCATTAGTTCAGCCACCTTGTCTTTGGAATGCTTGCTTTCCCCCCATCCCTACAGCTTGGAACTTCTTTCCAGCCCTCAGCCTATTCCCTAGCTTTTCCTGTCCCAAGAGTTGGTGTAAGGTTTCGTTTCAGCCAAACTGACACTTTCCTCTTTTTTTGCAGAATCTGGATTGTGAGCGTTTTGATAGCTTTGTCTTCTAAGTAGTTGAAAGGTTCATGGGCAACATTACGTATCACAACAACTATATCAAAGGTCTCATCAGTGGAATAGAAATTAAGATTGCAATGTGGAGTGTGACTTAAGTAGCATGAGCCTATATTTTTACGTTGCAATGATTACTGAATGAGACACTGACACCCGCCTCCCCTTCATTATTTTCCTGGCTAAATAAATTTCATTTTCATTTTTGTATTGTTTGGTTCTTTAGAGTTGCTTATTTCCTCTAGTGCAAGAGAATTCACCTAATTATTTTTTAAATTAAGGGAAACCCTGCACTGGAGGCCTTGAAATTTTGTAAAAGTTTTCTTTAGCTTTTAAAATGTATTTTATTCATTTGCTTTTCATTTGTTTTTAAGTGTCTGGCGTCCCATTGAACTCCCCACCCAAATTTCTTGCCCACTGCTTTGCCTCTCTTTGTCTACTCTTCACACAAGGAGCTCTGTCCTTCCCCAGTCCTTGCTGTTACTGCCTATAACGAAAACGTTCACAAATACCTTCCATCTGACCCTGCCAAACTGCAGCCCCCTACAAAGCACTGCCCTAGGCAGCCACCTAGTGCCACCTAAGCTTTATTTATTTGCAGATTTTCTTCTTTTCCACCCTCTTTTTAAAATTGTGCCAACTGTAACTGGCTCAGTTCCACATTGCCAACAGGTACATACCACTCATAAATATATATATTGTTGCTTGCAATGCTCTGCTCAAACATTTGGATTAAATCTCTTCCTAAATACTGTGAAGACAAAGGAATTTCTGTTTTTCTTGTTGCCAGTTCCTCACCAAGACCATCCAGCTCATATATAACCAGTGTGGTGTAGTTTGCTGGTCTTCAGCTGGTGGGCCAGGACCCACTTGTGTGTTGAGGCCTGATCCAAGGAGTTTTGCAACAGGAGCACTACCACCATGCAAAGATATGGCAAAAGAAACGGGTCTCCGAATGCATGTTTGCGTGGCGATACCCCTCCCCCCAAGTGAAATGAAGACACTGGACACATTATTTAAGGTTAATGGGCATAAAAAGGCCACAACTTTATTGATTACAGGAATTGGAAGGTATTGGCCTTAGGCATTGGCTCCTATCGACTACCCGGCATGGGGACCGGGAAGGGTTATCCACCAGCCGTGGGAGTCCTGTTGAAGTACGCCAACTAGGATCCCACGGGTGTCACCGCTCGGGGGCGTGCCGGAGGCCCTCACCTCCCTAGGTTTCGGACAAGGCAACACCCCCCGGAGTCCTCTACCCTTTTCATTGGGGGAAGGTGATGGTGTTTCCTTCCCCCCTTCATTTGCATAACAATTAACCCCTGCCAATGCCTAACCGCCAATACCGAAGAAGTTGTGACGTTTGCTACGAGGTAGGCAAAAAAACCAAAAGGCTAGAAGTGCGCCAAGTTGGAAAAATTCCTACCAGGCCCCTTGCGGCAACCAACCGGAGTCCATAGCAAGGTCAAAGCTAGCTAAGCCTAAAGGGTGGGTGGGATGGGAAAACCAGGCAGCTGGAACGGGGCAAAGAGGGCAGCCCCCGGGCGTGCTGGCCTTAAATGGGCTAGGCCACGCCTCCCCTGCCCGCCGATTGGCGGGCCGGGTCGCAGACACGCCCAGGGATTCCCTCTTCTCGCGGGGGCTAAAACCAGCCCCCGCATGTGTGGGAGGGGGTGGCCCGCAACCCCCCCTCCTCTCGAGCTCGGAAGTGGCTTTGTGCTAAAAGTGGACCTGAGCAGGTTGAAGATGCCTGGTGTCATGGCTAGGGTGTTGGACTATGAGCTGGGAGACCAGGACTCGTCCCCACTTGGCCATGAAGCTAACTAGGTCACCTTGGGCCAGTCACTGCCTCTCAGTCTAACCTACCTCACAAGGTTCTTAAAGCCGCCTTGAGCTCCTTGGAGAAAAAGGCGGGATATAAAGACAGTGAATTAAATAAGCAAGATTCTCCATGCTTAATTCAAAATGCAAAGCAGAAATACTACACAGCCTCTGTCGTGCTCCAAAACCTTGTTCTTTTCTAGTCCAAACTGCTTCATTAAGCTCAGCCACTGCAGAAAAGGGGTTAAGATTCACCCTTAGTTATTTAATTTAGTATTGTTGTATTTTTACTGCCGCAGAAGAGGAGAGGCCAGGGACACTAGGTGTGTGGGTGTTCATGTGTGCCTCAGACAGCAAAATGTTTTGCATTGTCCCTGATGTTAGCACTAATAATAATCATAGTGCTCTCTCTCTCTCTCTCTCTCTCTGTGTGTGTACGTACATAGTAAGATACTTGACAGTGGCTACATTATAGATGCTTAGCCATAATAGACATTACTTGTTCCTTACATGAATGGTCCCCCCCCCCCCGTTAACTTTCATAACTCTTTTGGAGCTAGGTGCCTGATTTTAAATGCCAGTTAAACCTGGCCTTGAAATGAATGGAGCAACCAAGACATTTGATTGATTTAAACCATGACAAAAGTCTTAATTGTAAGTACTTGGAGTGCCATGAAGAAACCAGCAACAAATACTGTCTCATGGTTGTTGCCTTTAATGGCAACAGTTTCTGTCTCTGGAACACATACATGCCCTACTGAGATATTTATACTCTCTTAAATGTTAACCTTTTAAATTATGCTCTTCTTGGTGCACTTATTAATAGGAAACTGGGAAAGTGTTCATATTAGAAACAACACAGAGAATGTCTCTACTCTCAGCAGCACTCATAATGAGAAGCATCTGCTCTGTCTTTCAATGACCACCAGTCTAATTCTTCCATTATCAGATGGCTTAATGCTGCAATCCTGCACACACTTACCCGGGTGTGTCACTGGCTCATTGTGTGGTGCTGAGCATATATCTCTAGCATCGTTTCAATCAAAGGAGTAGCCAACTAGCTTAGGCGTGTTTGCCAGCTGCAGCTGCTCCTTGATCAGAATGGCCTGGCTTCAGTTATCCATGTTCTGGTGATCTCTCTCTTCTGGACTACTGTAACTGGACTACTGTAGTTTCACATGGGGTTGCCCTTGAAGACAGTCCATAGGCTACAGGTAGTGCAGAATGTGACTGCTAGGTTGCTAAATGAGGCAGCTCAATTTGACCAAGTGTCACCACTCCTGAAAGCACTGCACTGGCTGCCAGTGAGCTCCTAAGCCAGCCTTTCTCAACCTGTGGGTCCCCAGATGTTGTTGAATTACAACTCCCATCACTCCTAGCTAGCAAGGCCAGAGCTCAGGGATGATGGGACTTGTAGTCCAACAATATCTGGGGACCCACAGGTTGAGAACCGCAGTTAGGCACAATTCAAAGCCCAAAACCGCATGGGCCCCAAGTGCCTAAAACAACACCTCACCCAATACTAATGGTCTCAGGTACTATGCTTGGCAGTGGAAGGCCTGTTGGTGGCACCGCTGCTAGGTGGTGCTTAGTTGGCATCGACCCATGATTCTAAACAGGGCCACTACTGCCTGTGCCATGTGTTTCCATATATTAGAATGAGTCTCCTTACGCATGGTCTCCCTTTTTTCATCATTGCATCATATAGTCTGTCTAGCAACTTCAATAGAAAATCGGCTGGAAGGAGTGTGGCCAGCTAGGATAACTGCTGAGTTAACAAAGGCATGTGCTTGGCTCCACATGGCACTGTCTCAACAGACTATAATGATAAGTCTGTCATTGCTTTTGGTGTCCCAGCATAGCAGATGTAGCCCCATTGGCTTTGTTGCTGTAATACAGAAAGCTTCCTTTTTGTTCTGTAAGGAAATGGCAGCTGCTTTGCTTGCCTTTGTGGAGGGGAGGCCATTGCTTCCAGCTAACCTCATGGAGTGGGTACAGGCTGCACACAAATTACACATGGCAAAGGCATAATGTGCCCTTTCCTTTCATCTCTTAGGCCACCTCTGCACTATACATTTAATGCAATATCATACCCCTTCAAGCAGTTGTGCTTTCCCCCAGAGAATCCTGGGAACTTGAGTTTGTTAAGCATGCTGTGAGAGATGATAGGAGACCTCTATTTCCCTCACAGAGCTACAGCTCCCAGATTGTTAAACTACTGTGAGAACTTTAGCTCTGTGAGGAGAATAGGGGTCTTCTAATAACTCAGCACCGACAACAAACTGCACTTCTCAGGAGTCTTTGTGGGAAGCCATGACTGTTTAAAGTGGTGTGATACTTCTTTAAATGAACAGTGGTACCTCTGTTTATGAATTTAATCCATTCCGGAAGTCCGTTCTTAAACCAAAACCGTTCTTAAACCGAGGTGTGCTTTCCCTAATGAGGTCTCCCGCCGTTGGTGCCCTTCCACCATTCAGCTTCTGTTCTTAGACCGAGGTAAAGTTCTCAAATCGGGACACTATTTCTGGTTTTGCGGAGTTTGCAAACTGAATTGTTCTTAAACAGGACTGTTCTTAAACCGAGGTACCACTGTATAGTGCAAAAGGAACCTCCGTACTTGGAGTGCTTGGAAATGGGGCAAAAATTACTTGCCCACACCACTGGTTGAATTAAAGTCCAGAACAAAAGCAGGGGCATGTCCAAACACTCGTGCATGGTCTATTTTATTATTGACTGCTTGCTAATGTGCTGTCGGGTTGGCATCTGTCTTATCAAGTGGCTGTGCCACATTATCTAAGAGGTGCACTCCACATATTTTTCAGGGAATGATGAGGAACTGCTTGACTGGAGAACTGTACACCAGAATCTTCTGGGATACTGGAGGGAATTCCAGGAGAAATGGATCTGAACACATTCATTCATTTATTTTTCTCTAACAAAATGTATATACTTCTTACTAGAACAAAATACCTCTGGAGGGTTTACAATTAAGTCTAAAAAGTCATTAAAACACTAATTAAAAAATACTAAAAAACCAAATAACATTTAAAATTAAAATATAAAACAAACTCATTAATAAAATACTTATTGAAACTATGTACCATGATAAAGTTAGATGTCTAGAAAGGCTTGCTTGGGGAAAAGGGGGTGGGGTTAGCCTGAAAAATACAGGAAAGGCACTTGCCTAATATCAAGGGGCAGTGAGTTCCACATTGTAAGTGCTTCTTTGTTGGAATGTCTAAAAATGTTGCCACCACAACTGAGTTCTGGAGTTGCTTGTGTTCCTGCATATGGCACATGATTCACACAGCTCTCTTTGAAGCTGAGGTACCCAACCAAATACAAATCTATATCAAACCATGGCAGTTTGTGAGTTAGGGGCACTTCTGCAATGCACAGTTAATACATCCATAGAGACCATTCCAGGAATTCAGATCTAGGAATGTTAATGTGCTCTCATTTCCATCTTATTCTGAATATTCACCAGCATCTGTTCTATGATTAATTAAAAGATTGAGATTTTGCAACACATGGCAGCAAGTTAATAAACAGTTTGTTTATGTACTTAGGGTATTCCTTTAATGGGAAATCTGTTTGCTGAACATCTCAAAAGACTTGAACATTCATTATCTGCATGAGAATTGACCATTTGCAGACACTAAGAATGGCGGGACAGGAAGGAAAGTGAAGGTCAGGTAGTCCCAACATTTTCCCTCAGGCAGAAACCTCCAGGCTCCTGCTGCCAAGTAACTCATAGCCATATGCTATTGGGAGAGAAGAAATTCTGAGTCACTAGTCCATCTAACCGGAGGTAAAACTCCCTCCCAATAGCATCTCTTCTATTGGAACCTATAGGTTGTATCTGAATAAGTCAGAGAAGACTAACTGAAATCAGTGGACTTGAGTCCTCTGGTTTCAGTGCATCTACTACTCTGAGTATGACTTAGATAGAAACCCTGCACTTGAAACAGTAGCAATTCACTAGAAAAATAAGTACACAAACCCATCTTGTTCAGATTCTGGCTCAGATACCTGGGCCCATGGTAGAACTGTCCTCATTTGCTTCAAGACCTCTTAACCTGTAATATCACAGTCTTCTCATCATGCCAAAGGCACTCACACATGACAAATGGGTAAAGTATGGCCAGGGGACTAGCTTTACATCTTAGACTCCACTCTCATTTATTTATTTTGTGTAGAACAGGCCTGAAGCTCACCACAAAGCAGAATGCCTCGGGCCCACCTTCAGAAAGCTTCCACACCCACCAGAGGCTTATCTGTTCTTATTTTTTTATTATTTATTTAGAATACTTATGCATCACAAAGTAGCAGAAAGTTCTCAAAGCAACTTACATAGTACTGGGTAGCAGAATCCAGTAACTTCTGGAGGACACCATGTCAGCTACCCCTGCCCAACGCTATGTCTACTCAAGGAAGAATTCTTCCCAAAACTTCACTACAATTGTCCCCACAAAATAGGGCTTAATGGAGTTGCCCTCACCCCTTGTCAACAGTGGTGGTTCTTGGCCTCAGTAGAAGAGCAAAGAACAAGACCTTTCCAGGAACAGGAACAATGTCTGGGTCTGGAGGACAAGGCTGCTCCTGCCACACTTCTTCTGGCAGACTGTTGGATTGATGGCAGCTCTGGCCAGAGTCTGGTGACAAAAGAACTCTCTCTCTTTGTGTCCTATGGCCACAGGTGTGCTGAATAAATGCAGTAAAAAAAAGCTATTAAATATTGTATACCTGTACTGTACCTTGATTCACTTAGCCCTATATATACTTAGACAAGTGTGAATTTGATAGATTGGGCTCCAAAGGAGACCTGAATTGAATTCCCCCCCCCCACTTCCTGCCACCTGGCAGGGATGATGGGAGTTCTAATCCAGCAACATTTGGAGGACCACGGATTCCCCATCCCCGTGTTACAGTGAAAGACAGAGAGACCAACTGACTGCCCAAAAGTAGAACAGGATCAATACCTGTTAAAAAGTTGAGGTAATTTTAATCTGATTCAGTATGTTTTAAAATGGATTTGTAATTTTTTGATTGAGTTTACTGGGGGTTTTGGGTTGTTGTTTTTTACAATCAAGCAGTGTATAAATTTTATGAAATAAGTAAATAAATTAATGTCATCAGTCCAAAGCTGCCCTTTATATTCAACAGTTATTAGTGCCTTCTTACCAAACATTGTATAAAATGGGCCTAATTCTGGGCCTTTAGGGCCATTTCCCAGCTCAGTCTCTGCAGTGCCTTTGCTTCCTCAAGCTGCTCAACCAACCAGAAAATGAGCTTGCAGGACTGAGGTATCTAAAACCATGCTGCTTGAGAGAAAATTTGTAGCAGAAATGATTGCTGCTGGCAAGGCTAGGTATTTAAAGGATCTCTCCTGGGAAGACTGAACCAGCCGCCTTCACTGCCACAAGGGCTTCTAGATTCCCCCCCTCCCTCTATATTTAGAGAGAGGTGGAGCTTCCTCATTCACGTCAATAGAGAAGACAGCTATCCATGCATGGGCACACATGTGTAGAGCAGTCCTCTGCCCAAGAATGTGAACAGAAAAGCTACAAAATGTGTCCAGAACTCTAGATCAGAGAAATCATATAACCATGCAAATGCTTTGAGGCCAAGTCTCAGAATTTATGCTTAGACTTCAACGTGTTTTTATACACTATAGCTTTTGCCCAACTGATATCCAGCTAGTGGAGATTTTCTAAATGATAGGTCTGTGGAGAGTATATCTCTAGATATGTGCTTGTGCTTTTCTACATTTTATTTTGCAGAGTAGCATTTGATGTATCCCTAAATATCTGAGAGGCTATGGTCTTTCACAAAATGAAGAAAAGCAATGGCAATTGTATTCAGGAATAAAAATAATAGGTCTGTCAGCAAGATAAATGGAAGGAAGGAATGAAGTTTAACATAAATGGAATCAAGAAAGAGCAAAGGTCACCCAAAGGGGAAATTTTATAGAGCATGTAATTCAAATCCAGTTATTGTAGCCCAAGGAAAACAATGAGGTGTCTTTATTAAACACTGGGATGAGTAAATCAGAGCATCTTCCACTGCCCCTGTTTATTTATCTCACTGCCAGGCCTGTGATGAAATTTGAGTGAGAAAATATGGACCTGGAATCATCTGAAAGTAAAATCTAAATGCATGCTGTCAAATGCATTTCCTTTCATGTTTATGTAGGCATGTGCATGTTTATAGCCTCCCCCAAAGCATGCAGAATTTAGGAAAGGCATGACAAGAGGAGCTGCTCAGTAAATATTTACTTACAAAGGTTCAGGAGCTCTTTTATTCCAGAATGACCTCTGGAAGTTGAGAAATGTTATTGTTGGGTAGCATGACTCTCTTGTCAATTATGCCTCAATTTTTCCAGCTTCCCACCTTCAGTTTTTAATCTCAATGACTTCTTGATACCCAATTTAGGGGCCCTCTTAAAGAGTTTTAAACCTGGAAGGTACACCCTGGGTTGTCTAGTCCAACCTTCCCTGGAGAAAAAAGGATTCCCAACCTGTTTGTTCACCTGCTGAACTGCTGCTGCAATTAGGAATTTGGGGAGATGGAGAGAAGAGAGAAGCCAAAGAAAACTTAACTGGATTAATAGATAGAAAGACCCAGAATCCGTGACCAGGGAGAAGAGTTGGTGGAAGAAGATTGGAAGAAATTTAAAGATTATTTACAGAAATATTGCAAAATTAATGAATGTTAGAGTGATGTTGGATTGAAGTTAACTGGCTTCTAGCTGTACAGGCTTCAAAGTTATAAATATATCAAGATTAAGGATTAGGATTAAAAAGGTTAAAAGAATGGAAAAATTGGTCTTTAATAGGTAAAAACTTAATGTTACAATATATTAAGATTAAGGATTGGGATTAAAAAGGAGGGAAAGAAATTGCTGGACTAATAAACTGAATTGGAATACAAAAGAGGGAGGTATGAGGAAGTCTGGGAAACAAGTAAATTTAAAAAAAAAAGTTATGAAAAGACGGAATTGTTTTTAACTGTTTTTCTTTTTTCTTTTATCTTTTTGCATTTTGTATTTTGTATTGTGTACTTTTTTTCTTTATTTTCAGATTTTTCTTTTTTATCAATGTGATTTTATTCTTTGTGAAACTTCAATAAATATTAATTAAAAAGAAAGAAAGACCTACACTGTATCTATGAGAGCCAACTCACATGGTATGTCCTAGAACTATATAAGATAAGGATTCAAGAAACCAAGTTGTTGGTACATGCTATCAATAATTA